CCATAGGTCCTCAAGGGCTATTATATAGAAGTACCCATAGGTCCTCATGGACTATTATATGGAGGTACCCATAGGTCCTCAAGGGCTATTATATAGAACCACCCATAGTTCCTCAAGGGCTATCCTATGAAGGTACCCATAGACCCTTAAAGACTATTATATGGAGATATCATAGGTCCTCAGGGGCCGTTCTATAGGGTACCCATAGGTCCTCAAGGGTATAAGAGAATAAAGCGATAAGGCTACAAGAGGTACAAGGGATATAAGGCTATAAGGACATAAGGCTACATGGACTATAAAAATATCTGCGATATAAGAGTATGAAACCGTAAGGCTTTCATCTATATACATAATATCGCGTATCTGTATGTCTTTTACCGGATGAACAGTTAAACCTCTAAAGTCATACGTTAAAGAAGAAACCAGCCGTGCAGTATGCACGGGTTCTCGCTAGTTCAATAATAATGCGTTAAAACGTATTAACAAAACAAATGTTATTCAATATTCGACTAACATTCAATAACAAGAGAAAATCATAAGGAAACATTGTGACATAATTCTTACGGACGTACTAATATATCAATTTAACAAATCATGCATTAAAATACGTTTAATAAAGCATATGACAAAATATGATTTCATTATCGTATCTTATAATGAATGAAAATAAAAATCAATACTGCCCAACAAAATATCATCTAGAAAAACTATATACCAATGCATAACAACAATAATCAATAGTAAATCAGAGGCTATCTCATCTGATAATAATGCATTGTAATGCATTAAAATGCCTTTAACAAGGCATACAAGAGTATACGATTCAAATACAATGCATTATAATGCATGAAAATAAAAAATCCGCATCAGTCAATATAGTATCATTCTTAAATATTGCATGATAATGCGTTCAAAATAAAATCACATAAGGCTATCAGATTTTATATATCAGTGATAATCCATTATAATGAATTTTTCTCTATATAACATATTGTAAAATACGAAAAAATGATCAAAAAATAATGCATTATAATGCGTTGAAGATTAATTGATTCGCGAATAAAAAAAATCACTCAATAGTAATTAAACAAATATAATTGATACAGAAAATTTCAATATTCTTTAATGAAAATCCATCATAAACACATTAAAATATAACTACTAACTCATATAAAAATATCAGCTGATAATAATGTACAATAAAACACAACGAAAAATAACTATTAGTCGACATTTCAATATCAATTTACAATAATGCATTAAAATGCATTAAAAAAAACAATTCTTATTCAATATTCGACTAACATTCAATAATAAGAGAAAATCATTATGAAACATTATGATATAATTTGTAGGGATATACTAAAATATCAGTTTAAAAAAATGCATTATAATGCATTAAAATATATTACGTTAACCATATGAAAAGAGTACGTAGAAATAACGCATTAAATTGCATTAAACTATAGTTTTCTTGAAAACACCAAATCATGCGATGAAAATAAGTAATCGAATTAATACAATGATTCTGATGTTTGTGAAATAATCAAAATTATAAATTTTTTTAATGAAAATTTTCGAAATGTCCATTTGAATAAAATCTTTTTGACTTTTCGACTTTCATAGAATATGCATATGAAAGAGCAGTGCTAATTAAAAGAAATGACTATTCATTCTAAATTTGCAAATCCATGAAAAAACAATCATTCTAATATGTTTAATTTTTGTTAATGAAAAGATAATCAATTAGTCGTACATTCTGATCAATTTTATCTACCTTAATGAAACAATGAATGGATTATTTCAATGGAATATATAAGCGCTGTTTTCTCTTACTGAAAAATTTCTCACTTACTCGCTTGAAAAAGAAATTCATTCGAAAGGCCTAGCGTAAAAATTATTATTATTGTCTCTCTTTTTTTTTCTTCTTTCTTTGTATTTATCTTATATTTATATACTAATAAAAAAAAAACATTTAAAAAAAAACAAAAAATTCATTTAATACATAAAAAGAAAAAAAAGAAAAATTATCTTATAATCATTGTGTTGACTTGCCCAAATTAAAGAATTTGTATAATTATATTATCGTCGAACCATAACCTATCTCTACGTTCGCTCAAAGAGTCAACACTTGATAATTATGTCTACCACTCGTTTCCCAACAACAACTACGTCATACATTCATTTACGTCCTCAAATAAATAGAAAATTAAATTATTATTTTGATAATCATCACAAGAAAAAATCTCGACCATATTTTAAATTCCAAGCTGGATCAACAACAACATTTTCTGGATATACAAATATTAATAGTTTACGTGATAAAAATGAAATTTATCATCAAAAACAGCAAACCAGAAAAAATTTTTTTTCAACAAATAATTATATACCTCCACTTATGAACAATGATACATTTCGATATCCACCACAAAAAAATCGTCGTACCATCGCTCATGCACAACGATTTCAAAATCGAAGATCAGCAATCATCTATGATAACAATGATCATCATAATATAAAATCTTCAACAACAATAAATAAATTAAAATTAAATGGATTGATCTTATCTGATTCTATGTGCAAACATGTGCGGGCAGAAAAATTAAGTTCAAATGAACTACATGTAAAATTATCTTTTGAATCGGGTTGCACTTGTAATCGAATGAGTCAATTTTTAAAACAACAAACAAAAATTAATAATAATGATATATTTGAAGCAAATTTCGTCATATATTCATTATGCACAAATGATGTCGCAAATATTGGTGCAAATGCTGCTATAAAACAATGTCGTGAATTAATTAATCTTACTAGAGAATTATTTCCAAAATTACAAACAATTGGATGGATTGCATTATCACCACGTTCCAAACCTTCTCGATTATATGACTCTGAAGAAATTGGTAAACATTATCATCATTTTAATCAATTACTCGCACAATTAGGAAAAGAAATGAATTTTGACATTATCTATACACATCTGCAAATGCAACATTTACATATTGATGGTTTACATCCTTCAATTTCTTCTGGACGAAATCTAATTGAAAATGCATTGTTAAATTGGTTTAAAAGAAAGATTAACATATTGACTAATTCAAAATTAAATAAAATACCAATACCAATACAATATACAACAACAATATATACAAATAAAGATCATCCAAAAGCATTATTATTATCAAATAAACATAAAGATGCAATGATACCTAGTAATAAACAACATAATAATAATAACAAGAATGTTCAATATAATGATAAAAATAAGAATTACATTCAATCAAATAAAGAAAAACAACAACAAAATAGAAAAATCTTCAATCATCATGATAATAATAATAACAATAATGAAAATATTAAAAGTGATGATAATAATACTTATAATCAAATATCCAAAGAGAAATTAATGCACATACCAAGTAAGACACTCATACCATATTATCCACATTTTTTGCGACACAAAGAAGAATTTTTTCGAAAAATTAAAGTACCAGAAGAGTTCGAAAATAATAAAGATGATATCTTTGTTTTGAGTAATTTGCATTATCAGACTGAATATTTTAAAAGTGAAGCCGATAAATGGAAGATCTATATGATAGCAGCAAAGAAGAAAAATAAAACAATTCAACAGATAGAACCTATGGAGATAATTATAGAAGAAAACAATAGTTTGCCAATAGCCAGACCATCACCAACAGGACTTGTATGTCCACCAGCACTATTAGATTTTACAGATCTAGCAGAAATGTTCGATGAATGGTTACCAGAACCAACTCCTGGTCAAAAGCGAAAAATAGGACATCGACGTGATGATCCACCAACACCACCTTCACCACGACAACCACCACCAGTAATTCCAAGACGAACATTACCACCAAGAGATCCAGAACAACCACTAATAGGAGGATCACTTCATCAATCACCAAATATACAGAATGAACATAAACAGCAACGTTCCTTCAATAGTTTGCTACCGATTGAGAAACGACATAATTCACCGATCAAAAATCGATTGACAACAAATGATCCATCAATGATAATATCACCAATAGAAAGTTCAACACCAGAACCAGTAAGAAAATCACCATCTGTTGTATCAAAGAATCCAATTAACCAACACGATTCATTTAAGTTTACAATTATTCCTATAGAATGTCGATATCACTTTAAGAAAACTAAACTAAAATGTACATTTGAAACAATAAAAAGTCATCAAGAATTTCTAGAAAGAGAATATAAAAGATTAGAAGAAGAAAGAGAAAACAAATTACATACATCATTTACTAGACAGATGTATTCACAAGTAATTGATTTCATAAAAAATGTAGTTAAAAAACCCATGGAAAATAAGAAGAATAATGATCGAAAAAGATTAGACAATCTTTTGTTAGATCAAATGAGGAAAGAAGCAACACTTACTATAGAAAATAAAGGAACATCAGAAGAACAACAATATATAAATAACGTACATGAGAAATATATGAGAAAATTAAATCTTCAATTACAATTAGATAAACTCGAAAAGAGGTTTATAGAAAATATGCCCCCACCGTCACTTAATATTTTTGATAAATTAAATTTACACGCAAAAGAACTAAAGACGAATAATCAACATTTCAACTCACTTCGTGAACAGTGGAAAAATGTACTCCGAAGAACTAAGTTAGATTTGACAAGTTTAATGAGACAAGCGAAAATAATAGAAATAGAAGAAGCAAAAAAACATTACGAAGAATTAGAATCGAAATTACCACAGCATTTACGTGAATCATATGACATAATACGACACGTTGCTCATACAAGACACAATCAGATTGCGAAGAAAAAATTGAATTTTTTAGAGAAAAGGGCGTGCGTAATGAGCGTAAACTAGCGCACGCCCTTATACATAATCATCCTGGCGTCATTACAACAAAACTGCATAAACATTTTACTAAGATTAGTTTCCCACCACAAGCAAATAATAAAGCACTCATAATGAATAATGCAGAAACGCGAGTACTCAATTTAGGACCAAAATTTGTTCCACCGGCACCACAGCAAGTGTTAGAACGTTTACCTAAAGAAATAGAGAATATGAAAGAAAAAATAGGAGCACATTGGAGAAGAGTAACTAATACTATAAGACGAGAAGTACCTCTAGTAAATAATTTTTGTCAAAAAATAGAAGATGTGATTAAGAAAACTATAACAACAGAAGCACCACCAGATCCTACAATAGAACCAACAATAAAGTATTTCCAGAAAATGCAAAAACAAAATAAGATTATATTTCGACAAACAGATAAATCAAAAGTGTTTCATGCAGACACTCACGAGAACTATATAAAAAAATCAGCACTTTATATGAATAAAACAAATGCATACATAGAAATTCCAACATCACCATTGAAAGAAATGATAGAGACAACAGACAAATTCCTCCGTCATCTAGTCTCAATGAAAAAAATGCCACAATCATTACTAGAAAAACTAAGACCATCAATGACTGAATCAGAATTACCACACTTATATTATAATCCTAAAGATCACAAAATAGGTGAACCGCTTCGACCTATAGTAAGCGGGATAAAATCACCATTATCAAAAATAGCTAGTTTTCTCGATAAAAATATTCGACCGCTATTTAATAAACATACCCCCTACTCTATTCCCAATTCAATAACACTCCTGAAATATTTGAAACAATATGAAACAACATCAGAAACTAATCTTTACACATTTGATATAACGGATCTTTATACAATGATCCCACAAAAAGAAGCAGTGTTAGCTGTATGTGAATTTTTAGGCAGACATGGTTATCAGAAAGTATATAATCTGTCGATAAACACAATTAAAGCATTATTTGTACACGTACTAGAAAATTCCTATTTTGTACTTCAATTACCAGGTGAACAACCTAAATATTATAAACAAGTTAGAGGAGGAGCCATGGGCTCGGCATGTACTCAAGTACTAGCTGACATATACGTCAAAAAATGGGAGAGTTATCTAGTAAAAGAACAATATAAACAAAAAGAATTATATTTTCGATTCAGAGATGATGTGTTTCTGACTACCAAACTACCACCAGAAAAAATTAATACTACATTCGAAGAACTGAATAGATCAGATCCAAACTTAAAAATACAATGGGAAGGAGGAAAGACAGTAGATTATCTTGACGTCACAATAACTATCGAAATTCCTAATTTTAGAACAACGCTATACCGTAAATTAGCAGCACAACCCTACGTATTACCTTACCACTCATCACACCCGAAACATATAATGAGAAATATTCCATATGTTGCAGCACTACGAGCAACACGAATTTGTTCACATCCTAATGATCTTCATGAAGAATTAGATAGAATAAGAGTAACATTATTGCTGAATAAATATCCGCCAGCATTCATTAATCAACAAATACAGAGATTTTATAAAGATCTTACAAAGATAAAATCCTCTGATCTATTATTAGGTAATAACCATACAGCATATCGAGATAAAGCACTAGATGAGCAATGGAACAAAAAAGGAAAAAGAAAATTAGATTTTCAAAATGATATACTGTGCCATTTTTCATACACGCCGGCATTGGCACGTTTTGGTACAACTTTCCATCAAATATGGAAAGAAATTTTTCAAGAAACACCATTAGATAACACACGCGTAATTTATGCCAATCGATTAACTAATAATTTGAAACAATTACTAGTAAAGAAACGACCAAATAAAAGAATCTTGAAACTTCAACCGCAATAGAAAAAAATTTTTACCTCAAATATATATGGAAATAATAGATATATATAATATAGAAATAAAAGATATATAAAATATATAAAAAATATATACATAAAATAAAAATAAGAAGAATTAAGATAAAAACTCATCAACTAACAATCAACTAGCAGAAAAACTACCAATACTAACAATAAAAACAAACTTCTCACTCTTTGTGTTATAAATTTGTGTATTGTAAATGACATTTCCTTCCCTATATTCAAAAGAATTTTATTTAATCGTACAAAAGTGTTTTCTTCCTTACACTCAATCTCACAGCGCTTTACTGTAAAAAATTATCTATTTTTTTGCTGTAAAAAATATCTATCTTATTATGGTAAAAATGTCCCCTCTCTATATACATTCCCATACTATATATATATTCTTTTATTATGCCTTCTCTACATGTATTCTCATACTATATATTGAGAAAATATCCATCGCATATAGTCAACCTCACCATATTGGCTGTAAAGACATCTCTTTCCTATCTATGTTCTTTATTTATTGTAAAAATTATATTTATCGTAAAAATGCTGCAATTGTATACCAGTTTTAGTTATTGTAAAAAAAATTTTTTTAATTTTATGTTCAATCTCATACCATATATTGTAAAAAATATGTCTTAATTTTATGTTCAATCTCATACCATATATTGTAAAAAATATGTCTT